CACAGTAGATACTATTTCCAATCTACGAATGCGTTACAATTTTCATAGTCGCCTATAGTAGCTAATATTCTCAATTAAAGGGAATTTTTCGGTTTAATTTAGCCATTTTTTTTCCTTCACAGTAGATACTATTTCCAATCTACGAATGCGTTACAATTTTCATAGTCGCCTATAGTAGCTAATATTCTCAATTAAAGGTATTTTTTCGGTTTAATTTAGCCATTTTTTTTCCTTCACAGTAGATACTATTTCCAATCTACGAATGCGTTACAATTTTCATAGTCGCCTATAGTAGCTAATATTCTCAATTAAAGATATTTTTTTCGGTTTAATTTAGCAATTTTTTTTCCACAGTAGATACTATTTCCAATCTACGAATGCGTTACAATTTTCATAGTCGCCTATAGTAGCTAATATTCTCAATTAAAGGGATTTTTTTCGGATTAATTTAACATTTTTTTTCCACAGTAGATACTATTTCCAATCTACGAATGCGTTACAATTTTCATAGTCGCCTATAGTAGCTAATATTCTCAATTAAAGGGATTTTTTTCGGTTTAATTTAACATTTTTTTTCCACAGTAGATACTATTTCCAATCTACGAATGCGTTACAATTTTCATAGTCTCCTATAGTAGCTAATATTCTCAATTAAAGGTATTTTTTTCGGTTTAATTTAACATTTTTTCTCCACAGTAGATACTATTGCCAATCTGCGAATGCGTTACAATTTTCGTAGTCGCCTATAGTAGCTAATATTCTCAATTAAAGGGATTTTTTTCGGTTTAATTTAGCGTTTTTTCCCCACAGTAGATACTATTGCCAATCTACGAATGCGTTACAATTTTCATAATCGCCTAGTCAAGTCGTAGAAGCCGTAATTATGTCTTCGACTGGAGAATAGCTAAGAAGAAAAATACTAAGACGTTTTCTTATCTCGAATTACCTGTATGAGGCATGCCGGATATGTCGCTATCTGAAACAAAAGAATAACAATCAAAATGTGTCTTTTATGTAAGGGTTTTTGGAACGATGCTCCTTATGGGACGATGCGGAGGGGTACCCTAACCGGGGAAAAACGTCCGTAACGTAAAATTTTTATTGTTTAAGTATAGTCTAGTATGATGGCTTTTTTTTATTGCTGCCCACCTGGTGTTAAGTGGTTACTGGAGCCCATAGACATCTACGACGTAAATGCGCACCTTGAAACATGAGTTCTAAGGTCTCAGTATAGTTACAACGGCTGCCCCACCCTTCAAACCGAAACGCATTACTGCTTCACGGCAGAAATAGGCAGGGCGGTGGTATCTACCCGCGCGGACTCACAATAGGTCCTACCACCAGTGGCTATACAGTGTCTAATGTATAGTCTACATGATGACGGTTATTATTCATATAAATAGCTGTTTCTTTGTATATTATTATTATATATTTTTTATAAATCATTGTGAATAAAATAAAGTTAATAACTTGGTAAAGTAGTTTTATTTTTATTTTTATCAATAAAAAAATGTCATAAAAAACGCATACCCGAATAATTTTCTTTATATCTCGAATAGAACTTAAAATTAATATTTTATAATAAGGAACTTCGTTTCTATCCGGTGTCCCACGACACCACACATATTTTTATTCCCCAAAGAGCTCTCATACTTCATACATAAGTATCCTTGTCTCAACTGTCTTTTTTTATTGACCTTGTAGGCAGACGAGCATACGATCCTGATGGTGAGTAGTTACCATCGCCCATGGACTTTAGCAATGCCAGGGGCAAAGCCAGGTCGTTGCCTACCGCTTATATGTCTAAAGTAGTATTCGTAAAATTAAATAAATTTGACCACAATCACTGATATATAAAAAAATACATCGCGCTATATATGTATACTACTAGCCCTAGCAAACTAGAGCTTTGTGCTTCGCTGAACCTACCACCGGATCGGAATCGTGACCTACTAAGCAGATCAGGCGAAAGCTCAAAAATTGAAACATTATTATTATTATTAATTAAGAATTTGAAAAATTGTGACGGTAACCACTTAAGACATCTATAAATAATAATAAACTTGCGAGAATACATAGCGAGAATCGATATTACTTTTGCATTACATAAATATTGACAAATGTACACATTGAAGATCTTTCAAGAAGCAAGAAAAATGGCTTGGTAGACCCGAATCGGCTGAGTTTCTCGCCGGATCTTCTCAGTGGGTCGCGTTTCCGATCCGGTGGTAGATTCTACAAAGCACTGCTCTTGCTAGGGTCAGTGTTAGCAACACACCCGGTTTGAGCCCCGTGAGCTCACCTACACGTCGAGGAGAAGCTGATATAGTCTCTCAAGGCTATCAGCATAGGTAGAAAAAAAAAGATCGGAACTTGTATCTAAGAAATGTCCGAAATACTGTAAGGGCGATTCAAGCGATTTATGTTCTGCCTTAATTTAAGAAAACTTATGTCCGAAATCTTGAAAGCGCGATTCAGGTGATTTATCTTCTGCCTTACAATAAGCTCTACCGTTACAAACACAACAGTTTTTTTTTTTTTTTTTTTTTTTTTTTTTTTTTTTTTTTTTTTTTTTTGTCGTTTCCCCCAGAGGACATTTTTGGGGGGTTTTTTTTTGTTTTTTTTTTTTTTTTTTTATTTTANGCCTCGTTTGAAGAAGGACATGTCATAGCGCTCGGGAAACACCGTGGAGGGGAGCTCATTCCATAGCCGGATGGTACGTGGCAAAAAAGATCTCTGGAAACGCACTGTGGATGACCGCAGTGGCTCCAGGTAGTATGGATGAACTCTACTCCGGTGGCGGGCGGTGCGATGGTAAAAACGAGATGTTGGTATCATCTCGAACAATTCCTCAGAGCACTCCCCATGGAACATACGGTTTTATTACGAAGTTTCATTTTGACAACATATTTTCTTTTTACGAAAAGCTTAAAACAACATAAAGCTTAATCTTTTCCGAATATCAATTCCGGGTTCAAAATTATAATATTATAACACGTGACATCTTTATCGTGTTTTCCTGCCGCGCTACCTGCCTTGAACCGAGCATTCGGTGCTCTATGACATCTAGTACAGGGCAGGAATCAGGAGTAAGATTAAGATCTAATATTTTTTGTTTCCCAGTTCATCAAAATTAAACCTGCAAAATTATAATTTTCCTAATTACTGATGGTAGGACCTCTTGTGAGTCCGCGCGAGTAGGTACCACCAACCTGCCTCTTTCTGCCGTGAGATTACTGCTCGACATCTAAGCAATAAAAAAAAAAAGATGGGTGGACAAGCTCACAGCCCACCTCATGTTAAGTGGTTACTGGAGCCCATAGACATCTACAACGTAAATGCGCCACCCATCTTGAGATATAAGTTCTAAGGTCTTGAGTATAGTTACAACGGCTGCCCTACCCTACAAACACAAACGTATTACTGCTTCACATCAGAAATAGGTAAGGTGGTGGTACCTACCTGCGCGGACTCACAAGAGATCCTACCATCAGTTAAAAACAAACCGTTGTAAACTAGCCTCTTAATCAATCGAGCTGTCTTTCGCCGCCACGCTACTAGTGTTGTCAAAGCGATTTCGAAGCTTAAAAAATCAAACCAGCAAATCCGGCCCCGCGTTCAGCAGAAACCCACTGATTACAGCACGAAACGCACCACGGTTATGATTACAACCGCCCATTAACCACCGATAACGCGGTTAAATCATAATTTATTCAAATTAAAAATACTTATCGGGATGCGATGCGGTCCTAAATCACGAATTAAGTGAGTGCGTGCGTGCTGTGTACGCAAAATCGATGGTTATCCGGACTAGAGATCGCCATGAAAACGCGACGGGTAAATGCGGCGGTTACGCTACTTAAGTTACGGTGTCACCCACCTGTGATAATGCAAAATACGTCCGCGTGTACCTAGAATACACCTATAAACTACCAGCGAATAGGCAGGTTAAAAAAATACAGCGTAATAAAGTTGATCCAGTGCGATAGGAGCTGCCTACGGGCGACGGACCATCGAGGCGATCCGCCCGGTCCTCTCGGACTGGGTGAATCGCGACCGAGGACGTCTCACCTTCCGAGCGACGCAGGTGCTCACGGGACACGGCTGTTTCGGTCGCTACCTGCACCTCGTCGCCCGGAGGGAGTCGACGCCGAAGTGCCACCACTGCAGTGGCTGCAACGAGGACACGGCGGAGCACACGCTCGCGTACTGCCCCGCTTTCGCGGAGCAGCGCCGCGTCCTCGTTGCAAAAATAGGACCGGACTTGCGCTTCCGACCGTCGTGGCTACGATGCTCGGCAGCGGCAAATCCTGGCAGGCGATGCTCGACTTCTGCGAGTCCACCATCTCGCAGAAGGAGGCGGCGGAACGGGAAAGGGAGAGCTCTTCTTCCCTCTCGGCGCCGTGCCGCCGCCGCCGAGTCGGGGGCCGGAGGAGGGCGTTTGTCCAGTTCCGGCCCCTATGAGGAGGCAGTCTTCTCCCGGTGGTAGTCACGGAGCGACCTAAGGGGGTTGAGGCTGCGCCGCACGCTACCGTGAATCTAGCGCGCTGGCACCAGGAGGACGGGACGGCGCGTCGGCGGCTGCGGACTGCAATGCGGTCCGCGTTTTCGTCGTCGCTGTCGTCGCCGAACATACTGTGGAAGAGCAACCCGGTCGGCGGTGTATCGCGTTCCGACCCGGCAGGCTGGCTCTGGCCCAGCGGGGTATCCCGGAACACCAACGGCATCGCCCGGGCGGACTGGTAGGGCCGCCGTACCGCGGAGACCGACGTCGTCGTTGGCGGGGACCTCGTAGGAGGTTAGTTCTCCGGCCCGAAGAAAAAAAAAAGTTGAATCAAATTCGCGTAACTAGAGACAAGCCACGTGCTTATTTCTGCCATAAAAAGCAGTCTTGAATTCCAGTATCTTTAAGGGTGGATTGATCTTAATACAATACAGCTATGACATCAACCCTACACGTCATTACGGATCCTTCCGATCCATTAACGTCGCTTTTAAGTACCACAAGCACCGGTCACCATCCTCGTCGAACCCGTCGCTTGCGACGAAGGGCTCGACGAGCGAATTAACCCATAGACACAGCCCACTGAGTTTCTCGCCGGATCTTCTCAGTGGGTCGCGTTTTCGATCCGGTGGTAGATTCTGCGATGCTAAAGCCAGTGTTAGCAACACTTCCGGTTTGAGCCCCGTAAGCTCACCTACATGTTAGGGTGAAGCTGAAATAGTTTCTCTTAACGTAGCGACAACCCTGAACTCTATCACCGATCCTTCCAATAAAAAAATTAGTATTAATTTTACAGCTATTTTTTTTTTAATTATAAGTTACCGACATTTCGAATATTTTACAGTTTTCGTGGTCACGGTCGCCCTTCATGGAACCGTTAAAGCATTTTTAATTATGTCTCGTGAAACGAGAAAAAAAAAGTTTAGGCATGGTTCAGAAAAGCGCACAATCCAGTAAACTCAAAGAAGAAAATGTGCATTATGTTAAGTGAACTAGTAATCTACCACCGTGCCGCCTATACATGATGTTTGTAAATAAATACCCCGAACCTAACATTAAAATAATTACGGGAACATTTATTGCTTTCTTTCTGAAGTCATTTCCCTAATTATAAACCTATATGCAGATTTTCAACGTAATGTGAGCAAACTCGCGAGCCACACTACGTTGAGGTGTACTTATTAAATTCTACTCACCGTACTTTGGTATTTAATTTTTATAGCACCATGAGGTATTGGTATAATCAAAACTATACAGTTTTCGTGGTCAAGGAAAATCCTCTCACGAAAACTGTAAATTATATACGTCTTCTCTCATTAAAACTGTATAATCTCAATTTTACAGGAGAGTGTTTTGAAGGTTTAATGTGTGATTTTTTTTAATATTAATCATCTTTGCAACATTTATTTTATTTTATTTTTTACAAGTTACATTATCTGTCTTTTAAAGTAAGATAAAATTATGTAT